ATCTAAAGAACAGTTGTTTTATTTGTATTTTCCATCTTATAAAAAGGAAAGTAACGAGACAAGATGTAACACAAAAGAAAACTGTTTTAAGAAAATATATTCACAACCTAGAAAAATAGTTTACATTTATTTTAAAATTTTGATTTTTTTTATTTCAGTTTACTAATGAAATTTTCTCTCACCAAATGCATTCTTGGCTACAACTGGCTCTGATTCCAGTGATTCGCCAATTCCATACTTGTTCACAGCTCGAACCCGGAAGATGTATTCATTTCCTTTGATAATTTTGGTTGTTGTAATGATGCACTCTTCCAAATTTTCAGCCACCATAGACCACACAACACGGCTTGTCTCACGCTTTTCTACAATGTAGTGAGTGATTTTTGCACCACCGTCATCAGCTGGAGGCCGCCAGAGAAGGGTTATCTTTTCAGCAGTCACAGTCTTAAATTCAATCGGGCCACCTGGAGGTCCTGGTTTATCTGTCAATGAAAGAACAAAACTATGTTAGTGCTTTTAAAAAGCTACTAATTTAAAATCACTAAGCTCTAGGCAAACCAAATATGACATTGGCTTGTACTAAATACCTACCAAGGATCTGTACTCTGATGGTGGCTGAGGCTGAGCCCATGGCATTCCTTAGTTTTAGTTCATAGCTTCCACTATTAAGGCGGTTGGCATCTTTGATGAGTATAGATGCAAGATCGGTGGTATTTTCAACACACACCAGTGCATTGGTTTGTAATTCTTTGTCATCTTTATACCACTCAATTGTGGGCTCTGGTTTTCCAGAAATGCCAGCTCTGAGCTTCACAGATGTACCTGCTCTGTATTTGACAACTTCTGTGTATTCTAGAGGCAAGTCAATTGCAGGTCCACCTGCACACACACACACACAGAAAAAAGATGAGAAACATTTAAAGTATTATAAGGATGAAAAGGTCATTGGTGCTTATTACGTTTTATATATATGCATATGTATGTGTATACATTTATGTGTACATAAGCGCACCCGTATTCTAATCCATTCATCTATTATTTTAACCTTTACAAGTTTATAAATTGCTCTTCTATCTCAGATGGGGTAGAAAGGCTGTGAGCAAACTCTCACCATCACTGCACTAACTGCCTTCTAAATGTATTTTAAAGTCTTTTAGGTGTTTTTATTCCAGTGGCAAAATGAGTCACAGTAGTGAGTGCAGCCCTGAACCAGAGGCAGCATTAAACATTTTTTTCAATCTAGTTTCTTGGCCACCTCCTATTGTTTTTTATTTCCCTTCCTGTTTATCTGTCCAAGTGTGGTCAGTTCAGGGTGGACCTTTGAAGCTTGAGTTCTCTGCTCACAGGGCTATGTTTTCACAATGCAGGTTTCTTGCTGGGCTTCTCAGAACTATTAAGAAATAGATTAAATTAGATTTGCTTCACAGCCTCACAAATACTCAGTGTCCACAAACTTGTTTGAATAGAGATCAGCTGTGGGATTCTTCCCTTAAGGGTGGGAGTGGATACTTTTGCCCAGACACTATCATGGCTCATATGTTTTTATAATGGAGAATTTTTAAAAAGTATTTTTATTTTAGGTTACTTGATTTTCATGACATTTTAATTTTCAAACTATTGTTAGTTGAACGTGCCACTTATTTTCTGGAAAGACCAAGTATACGTATTGTGGACTGATAATGATGTAAGATGACTCTGGAGAACCTCACTTGTATCATTAATGAGCTGCTTGATCTTGGGGGAAGTTACATTCCCACTTTAAGCCTGGGTTTCTCTTCAGTAAAATGGGCTAAATTAGGGCTGTTAGAACTAAGGGGGAGAATCCATGATAATTTTTCAGTAAATCTTAGCCACTGCTAAGATTAGCCACTGCAAATGCTATTATCAAAATGTTTAGTCTTTTAGTTATTTTAAAAGCAATTTTCTGTGGATGCACATATGGATTTGATTATTTTATTTTATTTTTTTAAATTTTTTGGTACGGGGGATCAAACTCGGGTCCCTGGGCTTGCAAGGCAGACAGCGGAACCAGTGAGCTAAATCCCCAGCCCTTGGATTTAATTATTGACTGATAATTTAAAACAGAATGAAAGTGCCAAGTCATACAAAAAAATCATAAAAGGATGAATGAATTTGAAAGGCTTTTAGATATACTGAGCTAAATCCCCAGCCCTTGGATTTAATTATTGACTGATAATTTAAAACAGAAAGTGCCAAGTCATACAAAAAAATCATAAAAGGATGAATGAATTTGAAAGGCTTTTAGATATCCTATAGTCCAAATCTCTGTAGCATCTTTTATAATTAAGAAATATGGAGAGGTTAAGGCATTATTCCTAGTATGTCAGCTAGTTTATAGTTTCTACCAAAAATCTCATTAAAGCACACAGTAAAAGTTATTAAGTAGGAAAATACTGAGTTAAAAAGATGCTGGGATGCAAAGTGCTAAAACTGCTTACCATAAGAATCGATGCATGTAACAGGGCCTACAACCTCAGAGGGATTGCTGAGGGAGCCGACGGCGTTCCTAGCAAAGACACGGAATTCATACTGGGAATTCTGAGTCAAGCCAGAGACAGTGAATTGAGTTTCAATAACATTAGTGAAGCTGGCCTTGGTCCATCTGCCATCTGGAAGGTCACGTCTCTCAACAATGTAGCCTGTAATCTTGCTTCCTCCGTCAAAAGCTGGTTGTTGCCATGAAAGGTTGACAGAGTTCTTTGAAATGTCAGTGATACGAAGATTTCTTGGGGGTTCTGTAGTAGTAAGAGAGAGCTGATTAGTGGCACTTATATTGATTTATTTTGCTTTGCAGAAAGGAGATTTGCATTGTTTTAGTTGTCAGAAATGTTCTCTTCATCACAGGTACATACCACAGGCATCAATGGCCAAGACTGGTTCAGATGCATGGCTGGGTTTTCCAACACCAGCAGCATTTTCAGCGTACACCCTGAATTCGTAAATAAGTCCAGCACTGATTGTTGTGACTTTGAAGTGAGTTGTACGGATGAGCATTTTGTTGGCTTTTTGCCATAAAATACTGTTTCTGTCTTTCATTTCCAAGTGATAGCCTGTGACTGCACTGCCTCCATTGGACACTGGTTCATGCCAGCTCACAGTGATGCTTTCACGAGTAACATTAGTGACCCATGGTGTTGATGGTGGTCCAGGCGTTGCTACAAAAACAGACATTCCATAGGTTAATAAAGACATTTAACACATATATGGTAAATGAAAACCTGAGATTTTGAACAGTTTGATAACTTACTGTATGGCAGTTTGACAACCACACACGCTGAATCTATGTGATCACTGATACCAAAGCGATTTTCTGCCTTGATGCGGAATTGGTATTCTTCACCTGTGGTCAGTTTCATGACTTTAATCATTGTCCTAGCAACTGTTGAAGACACTTCAGTCCATGCTGCAGTACTTGTTTCTCTCTTAAGTACAATGTAATTGGTAACTTGACTTCCACCATCATACTTAGGTGGCTCCCATTTGAGAACCACACTTTCTTCAGTTATGTCACTAATAACCACAGGGCCAGTTGGAGGACCAGGCCTGTCTAGCACGATGATGTTAATGAAAGCTTTGGTTGTTCCACTGGAGTTGGCGGCAGTGATCTCATATCTTCCAGCATCAGTTGTAACACTTTCTGTAAGATTGATTGTCAGGTTCTCAGCAGTAACTTCAGTATTAAATCTCATGGTTGCCTTGAGGGGAACACCGTCCCTTGATAAAGTCACTTTGGGTAATGGTTTTCCAGAAATTGGGATGTCAACTTTAAGGTTTGAACCAGCTTTAACATATACAGTGTGACTTGGGAAATTTTTCATATCAATTTCAGGTGGTTCTGAAAAACAAGTGTATGGAAAATGAAGGTGAAAGAGTTTCTAAAAATGTAATCAATGTGAGTTCAAATTTTGCTTTACATATAATTAGACATACCTAGCTGTTCCTTTACAAGAACAGGAAGCAGGAGCTCCCTTGGGTCACTCAGGCCAGCTTGGTTTTCGGCAAAGACTCGGAAGAAGTATTCATGATTCTCTCTCAGACCAGAAACAACGTGCTGGGTTGACTTTACCATGGCACATTTCACCCAGTTTTTCTGTCCTTTTTCTAGTGCTTCAACAATATAATGTACAATTCTGCTTCCGCCATCATGTTCAGGCTTCCACCAGGTCAAGGAAACGCTATCTTTGGTGACATTTGTTACTCCAAGTTTTTCAGGTGGGCTGGGTTTTTCTAAGAAAATAAAGCATCAAGAGGAAGGGAACAGTTGTTACAACATGTTTTTCCCATGTGGACCTTCTTGCATTCTCAAAAGAAAACTTCTAAGTAGAGGCCATATATGTACTTTAATTTCAGTTTTCCTTATCACTGGTTTGGCTTTTGAACCAATCATATGTCATTACATGTCACAGTATTCAAATGTAAGCTGTCAAATATACAGATTAGATGATAAAAGTTACCCCACATTCATCATAGGTATAAAAAGAACAAGATGAACAATCTTGTAAGAAGCTTCATCATATAGTTTCTGCATACACACATACTATGTGTATATATGTAAGTATATACATGTAGTTAGATTTAATTATATTTAAATTCAATATATTAGTACAAATTCACTTTGTGCGATAGCACGGATAGTTCTAAAGTGAATAATAAAGCATTTAAGAATAAACAATGATGATCTAGAATGAATCACGGCATTCTAGCAAAATTAATACAGATATGTTGTTTTCCCTTGTTCTTAAAAGGTACCTGTTATTTTGACTCCTTCTTTTGTTTCAGCTGGTACACCAACGCCAAACTCGTTTTCTCCAGAGACTCTGAAGTAGTAAGTAGCACCTTCTTGTAAGTTGGTAACTTTGTAGGAAAGGCGGTTACAGTTGTTGGTGACAGAGACCCATGCTTTCTTGCTGGCCTCACGTTTTTCTATGTGGTACTTCTTCACTGGTGCTCCTCCATCGTTTTCAGGAACATCCCAGGATAATACCGCACTCTCTTTGGTTACCTCGTGCACCGTAACATTGGCAGGAGGACCTGGAGAATCTAAAACTTTGACAACAAAGGTCAGTGAAGCAGCATTCAACACATTCTGAATTGTTAATGTGTACTTTCCAGAATCATTTCTGTTGGCATTTTCAATAGTAAGTGATGTACGAGAATCTATAGAATCAATATATGCTCTGGTGCGGAGGTCAGTGTCTGGCTTACTCCATGACACACTCGGTACTGGTCTTCCTCGGAAAGGCACAGTCATGGTAAATGAGGCACCAGCCTTGACAATCAAAGTCTTCCTCATTTCGCTGTCAATATCAAAAACAGGTTCTTCTTCTCTTTCTTTTGCTATCTGAGGTTCGGAACTGTCACTGGGGTCACTAGCACCAACCTTGTTGACAGATCTTATTCTGAAAACATATTCAGCTCCTGTTGTTAGTCCACTCATTGTGTATTCTGTGCCTCTGAAACTCTGAATGGCAGTTGTCCAATCAGTTTCATCAGACTTTTTGTATTCAACAGTGTATCCGGTTATTGGGGCCCCCCCATCAAACAAGGGCTTAACCCAGCCAATAGTTATAGTGCTCTTGCCAGAGTCCACAATCCTGGGTTTGGATGGAGGAGATGGTAAGAACACTGGATCTTCTGCCCGAACTAAGGGAGTGGTTTCACTTGGAAGACTTAGACCAGCAGCATTTTCTGCATAAACCTGATATTCATATTCACATCCTTCCCGAAGTCCTGTTGATTTCACTCTCAGATCGTAAACTGGTTTTTTGTTTACACGTACCCATCGTAGGCCATTTTTCTCTCGCCTTTCAATTATGTATCCAGAGATATCACTGCCACCATCACTCTCTGGTCTTGACCAGCAAAGCGTCATGGAATCTTTGGTCACCGATGTAACTTCCACAGATGTGGGCGGGCTTGGAACTGTAAAGGGGTCTAGGGCCTTCACAGCTACACTCTCTAGGGTCTCACCAGTACCGTATTTGTTAACCCCAGTTACTCTAAAGATGTATTCATTGCCTTTGAGTAACTTGGTCACTTTACACGATGTGGTCCTCAGCTCTGCTTCACATATTGTCCAGGCAAGGCGGCTTGTTTCACGCTTTTCTACAATGTAATAGTCAATATCTGCACCACCATCTTCTTGAGGACGTCCCCAGGAAAGAGAGCATTTCTCAGCAGTCAGGCCACTGATTTCCAGTGGTCCTGCTGGTGGGCCAGGCCTGTCAAGTACCTTGCAATTAACTGCCACAGAGCGAGTTCCTGCAACATTCTTCAACATTAGTATGTATTGCCCAGTGTCTCGCCTTATACAATCTTTAATTGTTAACAAGGTTGTACAATCTGTTGAGACAATTTCTGTTCTCGCTCTTTCTTCAATTTCAACACCATCCTTGGCCCAGGAAATTACTGGCAGAGGTCGCCCTGCAATGTCTGCATTTATCTTAAGGACTTCTCCAGCTTTGACGACGATAACATCTCGGAACTTGACATCCATCATAATTCTTGGAGCCTCAACATCATCTTTGACTGTAATTGGTCCAGTGGACTCAGATGGTTCACTAATTGAGTCAGCGGCATTTCTTGCGAAAACCCGGAATTCGTAACGCTGATCTTCAGTAAGTTCAGTTACTTCGAAGTATGTTTCCTGTACATTAGTGTAGTTGCACTTCAGCCACCTGCCATCTGGTAGTTCCCGACGTTCAATAATGTAGCCTGTGATCTTAGCTCCACCGTCATAATGTGGTTTAGACCATTTGAGTGAGACTGACTTTCTTGTGATATTTGTGACTTCAGGTTGTCCAGGAGGGTCACAGGGATCTCTTGCAGGAACCGGTTCACATGCTTTACTGCATTTACCAATTCCAGCAATATTCTCAGCATATACGCGATACTCATACATCAGTCCTTCATCAAGACCAGAGACTTTCATTTGAGTATCTGCAATGGGGATTTTATTTGCTTTTGACCAAAGAATGCTGCTTCTTTCTTTATACTCAAGGTGATAGCCAATAACTTGACTTCCTCCGTCATTAACTGGCACTTGCCAGCTCACAAGCATGGTAGATTTTGTGGCATGTACAACTTTAGGAGTACCGGGAGGACCTGGAGGGGTGAACGGATATTCTGCAACAACGGGTGAAGATTCGCTGTAGGAGCTCTTTCCATACCGGTTTTCTGCACACACACGGAACTGGTACTCACTTCCTGTTGTCAAACGAACTATTTTAATGGATGTTCTTGCAACTGCTTGTGAAACTACTTGCCATGTGGTAGAAGTGGTTTCTCTCTTTTCAACAATGTAATTGCTAATTTGGCAGCCACCATCATATTCTGGAGCAGTCCAAGAAATGGTTACATTGTCACAACTAACCTCATCAATATGTATAGGCCCTGGTGGTCCCGGTTTATCAAGGACAATTATAGTAATAGGAACTGTTAGAGATCCAGCGCTGTTTGAAACACACAATTCATAAGTTCCAACATCTTCCCTTGAAGCTTCTTTAATACATAGTGTTGTGACAGTCTTTGAAGAAGAAACATTGATTCTAGTTGTCTCTCTGAGAATCTGACCATCTTTTTTCCAGCTTATAGTAGCTTGAGGTCTTCCCTTGAATGGTACATCAATCTTGAGTTGGTCTTTAGCCTTTACATTGAAAGTATGGAAAGGAAGCTCAACTGAAGGCTTTATTTCTATATCCTTTGCAATTACTGGCACTCCAAGTTGTCTTGGATCACTTCTTCCTTTTTCATTAACTGCAGCTACCCTGAAGATATATTCTTCTCCAGCAGTTAGGCCGGATATAGTTGCTTCTAGAGTCTTAACTTGTGTGCAAGTGCTCCATTTTTCACTGCCTTTAGTCTGCATTTCGACCACGTAACCAGTAATTTTGCTGCCACCATCACTTTCTGGTTTCTCCCACTTAATTGTAGCTGTATCGCGTGTCACATCCACAAGAGTTACTCTTCCTGGTGGCAGGGGTGGTTCTGACACTTTAACAGGTTCAGTTGTTTCACCTGGCAAACCAATCCCATATTCATTGGCAGCCAAGACTCGGAAGTAGTAAGAACAGCCTTCTTGTAGATTTTCAATTTTAAATGTATTCTTGGTGCAGTTGTTTGTAATAGTAGCATAGGCTTTCCTTGTAGTTTCTCGCTTTTCAACAATGTAGTTTGTAATCTTGGCTCCACCGTCAATAAGTGGTGGTTCCCAGGACAGTGTCACTGAGTCTTTCTTCACTTCTCTTACGGTCAGATTTACAGGGGCACTTGGTGAATCAAGAACTCTGACATTAACAAAAGCTGTTTTGGAGCCACTGTTATTTTCAAGAGTCAGGTTATACCGACCACTGTCAAATCTGGTAACATTATCAATCACCAACATGGTATATGAGCTGGTCACCTCAACCTGGGCCCTCTCAGTGAGAACTCCTTCAGCCTTTTCCCATTTAACTTCAGGTTCTGGTCGACCTTTGATAGTGACAAATAAGCGTAAAGTGGCACTGGCACGAAGAATGACCACCTTTCTGAGGTCAGCGTCAAGTTCTATTTCTGGTGGCTCTGTCCTCTCTTTAGCAACCACAGAACCAGGTATAGTTGCAGGTTCACCTACACCTTCAGAATTGAGGGCACAGATACGGAAGTTATATTCAGTATTTTCTTTAAGCTTGGTCACTGTGAACTGCTTTCCTTGTAATCCTGTTGGTGGAGTGCAAGTTGTCCATTCATCAGCTGTGGCTTCTTTGACCTCAATAACATAGCCTTTAATAGGTGCACCGCCATCGTAAATTGGCTTATTCCATGCCAGGGAGACAGAAGATCTGGAAGTGTCTGTCACTTTTGGATTGCTTGGAGGACCTGGTGGATACAAGGCATCACATGCACGGTACAAAACAGATGGCTCACTAGGTTCACCCACACCAGCTGCATTCTCAGCAGCAACTCTGAATTCATAGGAATGGCCTTCAGTAAGTCCAGTTACCCTAAATCGCAGATCTGTTAGTGTTTTCTTGTTGCACTTTGTCCATCGAACACCCTCTTTATCTCGTTTTTCAAGAATGTAGCCCTCAATTTCAGCACCTCCATCATCTACTGGGCGTGCCCATGTTACTACCATAGAATCTTTGGTGATTGCTGAGGCTTCAGGTGTTGAAGGGGGACCTGGTAGCTTATAAGGATTACAAGCTATAACAGGCTCAGATTCCAGGGGCTCTCCAATTCCATATTCATTCACAGCCATGACACGGAAAATGTACTCATTACCAGGGAGAAGTTTGGTGACTTTGTAGTTAAGGGCCTGCACCTCAGTTGAAACCTGAGTCCAGGAGAGTCTGCTTGTCTCTCTCTTTTCAATGATGTAATGTGAAATATTAGCACCACCATCTTGCAGAGGTGGGTTCCATGCCAGATAACATTTTTCTGCAGTAACTCCAGAAACTTTCAGAGGCCCTCCAGGAGGCCCTGGTCTGTCAAGCACCTTTACAGTGATTGGTATAGCCTTTGTACCACCAACATTGCTCAGTTTCAGAATATACTGCCCTCCATCGGTCCGTATACAGTCTTTGACAACAAGAGTTGTTTTCTGAATAGTAGATTTAATTTCCATCCTAGCAGCTGTTTCTTCAAGTTCTTTTCCATCTTTTGACCAAACGATATCAGGTATAGGTTTGCCACGAATGTCAGCTTCAAGAACAAAAGTCTCTCCTGCATGAACAATAATAACATCTCTATATTTTGGATCCAATGAGGCATTTGGTGCATCAATTTCATCCCTTGCAGTAATGGCACCACTACTTTCAGACGGTTCACTCAAGTTGCCGGCTGCATTTCTTGCAATTACTCTAAATTCATATCTTTGGTCTTCTACAAGTCCACTCACTGTAAATTCAGTTTCTAATACATTGGTAAAGCTGGCTTTCATCCAGCGACCATCAGGTAGGTCTTTCTTTTCTACAATATAACCTGTTATTTTGCTACCACCATCATAGGCAGGTTTCTTCCATTTTAGTGTGACACTGTTTCTTGTAATAACAATGGCTTCAGGACGACCAGGTGGGTCACA